CGACCTACTATGTATCATATTCAATTATACAATAGGAAAGAAGTTATTCTCAAAAAGGAAATTATTAAAACAAGCTGGTGAATGGGCAATTGTTACTGGTGCAACTGATGGAATTGGTAAAGTCTATGCCGAAGAATTAGCTAGTGATGGTTTGAACATTATGTTAATTAGTAGAAATGAAGAGAAACTTTTAAAAGTTGCTAATGAAATTGAACGTAATTATCATGTGGAGACAAGAATAGTGACAGCGGATTTTACAAATGTAAGTCTATATATATAAATAAACAGTTAATATTCTAATTCGTTGTAAGATTGTTATGGTAGTTATTATTCAGACACATACGATTGTTTACCTTAAAGATGAAATCATGAGTCAATTGAAGCCAGACCACCAGAGAAAATCTGGAAGCACTGGACAGCCGTTTCGTCCTATTATGGGACTCCTCAGTAGTGCGCATCCGCAATCCCGCCTCACGAGATTTGAACCCAGGACCTACCAGTCTCGCGCCAGAGCACTTAACCTCTAGACCACAGAGGCGGCCGACGTCTAACGGTGTTAATGTCTAAGCTCAACCAATCCACGAAATTGCGCGACCAACTTCCATTGTACTGTTTCTACCTGACATGGATTAGCTCCACTGGTCACGACTTCTCACTAGAACTCCAGAAATTACCTCATGGAGCGAGTCACTAGTGAGCATATGATCATTATCATAAGGGGGTTTTGTTTTGAAATCCATATTTATATCGATGACTGTTCAATTGTACTAAGAGCCATTTATGCCTGTTTATTTATAGAAAATCTAAACGATTATGTTCTAGTTTCCGTAGATCGTGTTATTATTCTTAGCTTTATTTAAGATTATATCTTTTGGTACAATATAGAATTCTCAACTCAAAGTATTTCAAGAAGTTTCCCCTTTTCTTATTTTTTGATCGGTCCTGAGAATAATTATTGAGTGATCACCAATTATATGTAAGCGGTCCAGTCAATCAACATCTAAATAATGTACATTCTTTTCGTCCTATTGTGTGACTCCTCAGCACTGCGCATCCACAATCCCGCCAGGTCTGTTGGGATTTTCCAACTCCCTAGATAGATCCTCTATATCCACTAACCCGATTAAAGCGCCAGAAATTCGATTTTCATCCTTGCAATTCCGTAAACAACAATAATGCCGTGAGAAAGCAGTGAGTATATAGAAGTGGGTAGTTTCTTAAAGAGTCCTGTAAACTAAAATAAAACAACATATGCTTACTAGTGACTGGCTTCAAGAAGTATTTCCTGAAATTCTAGTGAGAAGCAGTGACCAGTGAAGTTGAACTAGATGAATGGTTGCTGAATTTCGTGGATCGGTTGAAGTCATTACATTAACACCGCTGGATGCCAGCTCTATTCTCAATGATTGTCTAACTAAGTCAATGTGTAAATATAAGCTAATTTCAAACCAAAAAAACAACAAACGTTTTCATAAATATCTCACATTTTTTTCTCTTTCCTCAGATTGATGTCTATTCAAGAATACAAGAAGCTATAGATCAATTATCATCTATTGCTTGTTTAGTCAATAATGTTGGTATGGGGGTACCTAAATTAGATTATTATGCTACCACAGATTATATCACTATCGATTTTATCAAAAATATCGTTTTCTGTAATAATCTACCCATTGCTATAATGACACATTTAGTATTACCTAAAATGTTGAAACAACATACTAATGGAATGGCTATTATTAATATTGGATCACATTCAGGTTATAGAGCATTCCCATTTTTATCATTATATTCAGCAACTAAATCATTTGTAAATCAATTATCTAGATCTATATCATATGAATATTCAGGGAATCATATTCATATACAAACAGTATGTCCAATGTTTGTATCTACAGCAATGAATGGTTATTGTAAAATGTCATTATTTGTACCAAATGCTAAAGAATATGGTAAAAATGCATTAGATATGTTAGGTGTTGAAAAAGAAACATTTGGTTATTTTGGTCATGCATTAAAAGAATATCTTACTAGTTTTTTACCAAATTTAATATGGAAACAATATATGTTATTTATGAAATCATGGTTTGATAAACATAAAAGACAATAATAAAAAAAAAATATATTTAGTAACCATGGTGATTAATTTTTTTTGTTCTTAATCTTTATTGGTTTTTAAAGAAAAAAATTTTTTTTTCATTCAATCAATAAAATTTTCTTCATTGACCTTTTTTTTTTCTAAAATTTTAATTGATCAATATTGATTTTTTTTTTCTATAGAATAATTTTGTAAACTCATCTAATTGATCAATATTGATATGTTTATGATTTATTAAAAGGTCAAAGAAGAGTTTGTGGGGTATGATAGTCATGGAGTGGTTGAATTTATGATTCTTCATGAAATACGTGGAAGTATTGGATAGCGGTTTCGTTTCAGTATTGAACTCTCCGGTAGGGCATATCCACGATCCCACCCAAGGGGTTCGGACGCATTATCTTTCGCTCTCACATGTAAAAACTTGACCTCTAGACCATTGAGTTCGTCGGCATTCAAAGATGTTAATGGCTAACTTCAACCAATCCAATAAATTGAGCCACTAATCGACTGAGAATTATATAAAAGAGTTTTTTTCGATGTACTATAACATTAAGTACAAACATTGTCCAGTATTGGGGTCTAGGAAACTGTTTCTTTCTTATTTAGATCTGGTGAGCTAGATTCTAATGTTGATGTTCACTATGGGACTGGAATCCAATATTTACTTATTTATTTAAACACATAAATATTGGTACAAAGAGACACCACAAATCTCATTTGATTTGTGTGAGGGCTGTGATACTGCCCGGGTGCTCAAACCGAAACAGGTGGTTTTCTTAAGGGAGGCACACCCGGAGCCATTGACCTTAAGGTCTGATCTACAAGGTAGTGGAGCATCGTGAGGAGATACAGTCCCATGGACCCACGATTGGTTCATACGCCATTTGTTCTTTCAGGATATTGGAGCCAGCCCATGTGCACCATTGGTTTGAAATCAGGGTTTTCCAACTCTCCTAGGTGAACTCGCCGTGTCCATCAACCCACTTAAAGCGCTGGACATTTGCTTTCCATCCTCTCAAATTCGTAAACAACAGTAATGCCATGAAAAGGGAGTGAGTAGGACTTCCCTGGCAGAGGCGGCCCAGATAGCTCAGTGTTAGCGCATCTAACTGTGAAGCTGGGTGATATGGGATCGGGTCCGAATCCAGTATGTTTTCCTCAAAACACTAGATCACTATCTAATGAGTGCTATTGAGTCCGGTTAACCACTACCCTAGGCAACAGAAATGAATTTAATTAATCAGCGTTAATGTTTCTCGTTGTTATTAATGCTAAGAACTGCAACTAAAATAGACCATTTGTTATCGCTAACAACAACAAAGGGTAAGATATATACAATTATAAGTTAAGCAAAATGAAAATATTGTGATTTCATAGTTGAAAGAGTGAGTCAATTGTAGCTAAACCATCATAGAAAACCTGGAAGCACTGGATGGCCGTTTAGTCCTATCATGGGACTCCTCAGCAGTGCGCATCCACGATCCCGCACTCGTGAGATTTGCTTTTTTTTGGGGGGGGGGAAAGGAGTCCACACAAACTACAAATACTTTCAAAAAAATTCTATATAATTGATTGAAGTGATTGAAGGTTTTGCACACCGTACATCCAGTTGTTGATTACAAATATAATTAAACTACAAAAGCGGATTCTATCAAATAACTTGAATCTATTTAGTTATTTTCATTTGACTACTTCAGTACAACTTGAGTAACTAAAAGTTTAATGGATGATTTCCAATAGTTCCTTCATGAAGTGAAAATCATTCAAATGAACAACGAAAAAAATTCTTTTCTCACTACTTCTGTTATTGACATAGACAATGTATGCTATTACACTTTAATACTTTGATCTTACTATGAATTGTTTAACAAAATACTTAAATATTGTAGATTCGATAGATCAAGTGTATGGATTATTGAGAAGTCTCATAAAACTTTCTCGTCTTCATTGGTTTTCATTTAGTTGTCTAGCGGAATTTAGTCTACAATTAGAAGTCATAGTGATTACTATATCGTTCAAAGTTTTTTATGATATACATCAGCGTTTTAGCTCCTCGATCATCAAAACTCATGGCGATTCATCTATTCTTATTATCGAGGTAAATTCCATTGATTTCTATTCTTCTTAACACTTTTAGGCACTTGTTTAAACATCATATAGTATCATACTTTGTGTAGTATTAATACTAATGACACATTCTAGTACGAATTACCGATAATGAACTAGATAAAAATCATCATTGGTAATTATGTCGGGAGTTTTAATCAGGAAGTACTGTATTTCTAATATGATTATGATTAAAAGTGTTATATACCGTGGAGATTTATGAGTACTAACTTTGAGAACTATTTATGGACCAGTGTGATATGTATATTTCCTATTGTATAATGGCTAAGTAACTAAACTATTCATATTCATGTCTCTCTTATCATAAGCTTTATTTTGACCTATAGACTATTGTCATACGGTATACCATTCTTGAGTTATCCCCAGTCTTTTAATTACTGTTCCCCTTATTCATAGCCACTTTTGACCAAATCTTGTACAAATGTTATTTTCTATTTTATTAGTACGATGTGCTCAGTTTGTTTGGTATATAAACCCAGTATGCTTGAGAATAATGATTCATAATGCGGAGGCAGTTATTGGTGTTCTGGACTTAACTGGTTCAGCTAGGCAGAAAGTAGGGTCGATTAGTACTCTAAACTGCTAGTACGACTTTTGTGTATCATTGCTTTGATCGATAATTCACTCCTCTCTGATTTGGCGGGAATCATCACGTCATATATAAACTGGGCACTGACGCACATGATATAACAAAAAGTAACCCCCCCCCCTTTTAAACCTTAACAATGCATCAAAGACATTTTATTGTCAAATTAATTTACCGTAAAACACTAGAAAGTATAATGATATTTTGGAAAATGTTCAATTATATGACTGTTATTATAGAAGATACAATTAAAAAACGAGTAAACTTCCTTCCGTCATTATTTGAAAATCAAGCAGTTGCTACGTTGCATAATATATAAAAAGAGAAAAAAGAGTTTGAGATGGTGGAGAAGATTTGTAGGTTAGCTCCACGACCAAAGCATCCAGCTCAGAGAACAAATCTAAATCAAAGAAGAAGGAGCTAACAAAATATTTTGATGAATAGTCAGTAATATAGTAGTTATGTCAAAATCAACAGACGAATGTAGAGAATAAGTAAAATATAAAAATGGAAAGAATAAGATAATTGTTTACCAAAGCTGTGCTACAAACTCAGCTATACCGATGGCCAAGGTAGCGACAGTGGTTGTACAAACTTCTTTTGGATACAAAGGTTCGGTTTGTGAACATGGATTCCAATTGACTTCAGCAATGTGAAAAAGACAAACTTGTAAACCATGCAGCAAATTTGATGGAATATGGTGGATAACCATAAAAGCTTTATTCAATTCGACTTGACAACCTGTGTCCACCAAGTGAGCGAGAACGGAACGCTTCATCACTCTTATTTGTCCTTTGTTCAACCAAGACGGATGATGCTCTGTTATGCGATGATGGAGTTTTGGAATTGTACGCGTTATATAACTGGCTGAGCAGGAGAAGTTGAATTAGTAAATACACATGGATGTAGCGAATTCAGGCAATCCGTCTTTATTAACCGTTCTTATTATGAGGCGGTTGTAGAAAATAACACTCAGTCTAACTGACTTTGAGTCACAAGTTCCTCAGTAGCATCATTTAATAATTGTAATTTCAATAACTGTACTTTCTTTAGAACGGTAAGTATCCTTATCCTTCTTTTCATCTCCTTCATGTATTTGTCGATGAATTTCTTAAGGTATCCATTCCTACTAAGCAAGTTACCAATGTAAGGAAGCGAGTCATTCTAGCATGATGAATCAGAATCTTTATTAAGTTTTCTTCTATCTGATTAGTATCGTTAGTTGGACATTAACACCGCTGGATGCCAGCTCAGTGGTCTATCGGTTAAAGGCTCTGGCTCGACACTGGTGCGTCCTGGGTTCGAGTCTCACGAGCGCGGGTTCGTGGATGCGCACTGCTGAAGAGTCGCATACTGGGACGAAACGGCCGTCCAGTATTCCTAGATTTTTCATGGTAGTCTAGCTTCAACTGACTCATGCTTTCAACTATGTAAATATTGAAATCTCCACAAAACCCCTCCTGACTATTGTCTAATTATAAACTTTCTATATAAATCCCACTTTTTAATATTGCATTTATTCTTTTAGTTAGTTAGATATTGTTACGTCCTTGATCTGTCTACCCACTTTCATGCCGAGGATAACTTATCCAATGTAGATTAAGACCTTAACACGATAGGCTGACTGGCTTAACCTTGAGGCTAGTATGCGTGATTTCGAAGCGGAAGTAGAGAGGCGAAAACTATTCTATCCCTGATTGGCTGACAATCACGCGCGCGAGAGAGAAGACAAGACAACTGGAACACTACTCGCTTTATTCCAATCCCGATCTGGTACCGGAATTCAGATTAGTGTAAAAAGATACATGAATAAATAGGTGACTAACCTGACCACAACGTCCAATAATTAGGAAAATACAATTATGTCAAAAACTGGAGGATTAGAGTAGAAAATAGAGTACAAAAGATTACGTCTAAATCACAATAGCTTTAGAACAGAAAATGTTATGGCAGTGAATCATACATCAAACGTAAGCTTATGATCCGTAGAATAGACTAGGTCAGTCAGTCACAACGTAGGACTTCGTATGTACGTACATCAGTTCGAGTTGCCATACCACATTAGCACAGAGATGAAGTTGTCGATTCAAATCCCATAGTGGTAGAAGTAGTAAGAGTATAAGCAGTTATCAGAAAGATTAGGGTTCGAAGATGTTATTCAAGGAGTATAATCTAGTGAAATAAATTTGGAAAGAGAAAAAGGATAGAGACATGAAGAATTCAGAAGATTAGAATTCGGAAGAACACAAAGAGTGGATCCACCTTCGCCATTGCAAACGATTTTGAGCCATGTCATTCAAGGTCTCTAACCATCGGTTACTATCATCTCGCGGATCCCAACCAGGTAGTTACACCTACCAACATGACTCAGTTCACTTGTCAGTGACTTCATGGATTCGTGTCACGTTTTGATCTGGCTGCCCCTAGTTTTCTTCTAACCTACTTCTACACCATCAAACATTGCACGTTGGGGCAGTCGGTGGTTGGCCATACCTAACACGTATCCCAGCCATCTCAACTGATGAAGTTTCATTACTTCATTAATTGGTTTGCCATTGTGGTGTTGTCTACTTATATCTATATAAGTAGTATATGGTGTGGGTCAGGCGTAGAATGTATTTTCGCAGAAGACCGATGAGGAAAGAACTGAAATGAAACGCAATCGTTTGGAAAATGCATGAGCAATGGAATAAGAGAAGAAACAGTGAAGATTGAAACAATTGGTTGTTAATTTGCAAATTGACTGTTCATTGTTTGCTAATCAGAATTTACTGAGATAGTCTGTAATTTTTGCTTAAATACATTCGATTGTCCCCAACTAGTGTTTTGTTCACTACACCATCCTTACCTAGTACCCGTTTCCTAACAACTGCATTACTTACTCGGTGGTCCCAGGACACCTATGATCGAAAACTAGTAGAATAGACTAGAGGCAAAAGTGAATGTTACAGTTTTACAAGCTTTGAATTAAATGAAATAACGTCCCCCCAAAAATAAATTCCATAGTTTGTTAAGGTTTCTTATTTCTCTATTCACATCAAATATATTTAGAAATGATAAATTATATTTCATTATTGTAAATCATATTAGTGTAGTGTAATGATGAAAAACAAAATAAGAGAAGAAAAAAGAAAAGAAAAAAAGAAATTTGAATTCACTTATTGTTGTTTGTTTGAATCTTCCCATCGATGTGTTAGGACTGTAGATGGTCAGTTTCTAATTGGCATATGTGCATACTGTACGTATTGCCTCAATATGACCTAAATTTACAATCATGGTAAGCAAAGGTAGATATTGGCTAGCAGTAGAATCCAGTTTGACGCGCGACACTTCGTCCTATTTGGGACTCTTTAGCTGGATGTACCTGCATCTCAGAGTTAATGTTCACTCTGGGGCTCGAACCCGGTACCGTTCACTTCAAACGTCATTGCGTTATCCACTTAAAAAGAAATTATTTCCCATGGATACAATTCTCATCATTTGATTGGTTAATTATTTACACCAATCAAATTTTTCTTTGGTTATCGTCCAATAGATTGACCTTTTTCTATTTCTATAAATAATCTCAATTACAGTCCATAAATCAAACCATAAAAAATTAGGAAAAAAATTCTAATGGAATCTAAACACCATCCATCATTTGTAAATTCAATTGAAGAATTTCATAAATTATTATCACAATGCCCATTTATGTCAATTATTCAATCATCAGAAATCAATAAAAAGAAAATCAATAAAAAAAATAAAACAAAATTAAAAGATACAACATTACATAATCATCAATTATTAAATGAAAATAATGAAACATTGAATCAATTTAAAGGTTTGTTTATGTTGGATATAGTTTTCCATTTTTTTTGGTTGTTGTTCATTAGAGTATTATGGTTTCATTTTTTCAAAAAAAGAAAAAGAATCTAAGGATAAGAGAGTTGATGATCTGTATTAGTTAGTTATGACGATGATGATTTCTTAGTTGATCCGACATACTTTTTGAAAGAATCGATGAACGGAGCTTCAATCACGTGTTGAGGTAATGAATACCACTCAATGATGATTTGATAGGAAACTTAGTAAAATTAGCTGATATGTAATTTGTTTTGGACTTGTGAATTTTTTGTTGGAATATACTCGTAAATTCTCTTTTCTTTCGAAGACACAAAACAATGTGAACATATCAGATGCAAACTAATTACTAAGTAATTTGAAAACTGTAATCAATTCACCTTTAGTTCTTCGATTATTTATTTATTTAAACACATTAATATTGGTAATAAGGGGTAACAGATATATATGCACCACACTAACCTCATTTGATTTTTGTGAGGGTTGTGAAACTGCACAGGTGCCCAGGCGAAACAGATGGTTTACTTAGGGGGCCGCACCCGAAGCCTTTGATCTGAAGGTCTGATCCACAAGGCAATGAAACATCGTAGTCGATAACCAACGACTGATTCATATGCCATTTTTCCCTTCGGATACTGGAGCATATGTGCACCATTTGTCTGTGATCATGGTTTTTCAAGTCCCTTAGGTGGACACAGCTTAAGTTCAGTTCGAATCTCGCGTGGGCGGGATTGGGGATGCGCACTGCCACTGAGGAGTCCCACAATAGAACGAAACGGCCATCCAGTGCTTCCAGGTTTTCCATGGTGGTCTAGCTTTCAACTATGAAAATACTGAAATCTCCACAAAATCCCTTCTCATTAAATGATTTCATCGAAAAGAGAAATGTTCTTCTCGCTGAATTCCCTTTGATCTTAAGTTACTTTAAATATACATTACCGTATGATACTCAACCAATAAACGTTTTATCTTATTTCTTTTTTTTTATAAATCTCATAAAAAAGAGGAAGAAATCATTATCAAAGATATAAAAATTGTAAATAAACAAACTACTAATAATACTACTAACTACTTAAATTCATTAAGTAGTATAAAAAAATCAAAGTTATTTAATGAATTTAATAAATTATCATTGGATGAACAAAATGAAGAAAATGAATTACGTTATAAACAATTAAATAAATTGTATGAATTAATCCAATCAAATCCAGAACAATATGGACAATTAACGATTGATAATATAATAGAACAAATGAATCATTTTTATTTATAAAAAGAAAAACTGTCGTACAATGTAATATATATTGAATCTTTAAATGAATTCAAATGTATATGGCAACCAAAGAGAGGAAAACAAACACCCCATTAATTCTATTCATTAGATGTAATTACAACCTACCCCTCCATTCATTGTAGACAAAAGTATATATATATATAGAGAGAGAGGGGTAGAGAGGTAGATAGATTCTTTTCTTAATATACATTGTGTTTATTCTTTTGATTAAAACAATAATGGGCAATGTAAAAAAAATACAAAAAAAATATTCTAATTAGATCAGTGAAATAAACAAAATAGTCAATGAAAACTAGTTGTGTTTGTTTCAATTGGAAATATCGTTTATAAAGGCTGTTCAAATCTTCTGTTTGTTGATGTTAGGCGTTTGAAGCGAAAGGTACTACATTCAAGTTCCGATATGAACATCAAGACTGAGGTTTAGGTACATCCAACTTGATGAGTTCAAAATATAAGGTGAAATGTGAATTCTAGATTCTGTTGTTATCTCTATAACCCAACTCTGCTTATAGCATTATAATAAATATGAATGAAGTTAGTGTGTACCTTTTTGATGTAGGTTTGTTCACTGAGCTGGATGGTTTGGTCGTTTAGCTTTCATCGTCCTTCTGAACGACATCAGCACAAACTTCAGGTAGAAGTGAAGTGGTTGAAGTAAATCGGACAAAGCGAACGACCCCTTCGTCTTCGCCCGCACGAACATCAATTACCAGTCAAACACCACGACATGTCTTCACTCATATCAATATACGTGGACAACTACGGACACACATTCGACTGGAAAAATGTGCAGATTTTGGATAGAGACAATTCCAAAAACACCAGAGAACTTTTAGAACCTTGGTACTCAGGTCAATCAGCAATAAACAAGCACATTGAAACAAAACAATCAAGAAAATTGATCGATAGCATTCGATCAGCACTAAGCACTTGACACGCATGAGATTGATCAACACCCAGTGATCAATCAATTGTGATTAGATCTCAGTCCTACAGGAGGTCGGTCGCGAGTGACACGGGATCGAATCCGCCAGGGAGCATCAGTTACCTCAAGATTACAGGTACACCTTGCGGACGAGTGCCAAGTAGCACGAAACACGGGTCCAGGATTTACTGTTGACCACTTCCAAACATCATTTTACCTCAATATATATACCCAGTGATCAATCAATTGTGATTAGAAAATTATGCAGAAACATAGGAACAAAAATCAAACCAATAGAAGATACAACCCAAACAAAGAAATAAACAGTGACAGATTTAAGGTCAATAAGAACGAATCAACATCGAGGTGCACAGTACAAGCTGTGAATCACATGTGCAGAAATTCAAACACTTCACTTCTACCCGAAGTTTGTTCTGATGATCTGGTTCAGAAGGATGATGAAAGCTCCACGACCAAACCATCCAGCTCAGAGAACAAAGCTTTATCAAAATCACCCACCTGAGCTAAAAATCTTCTAAACCAGGTTTGGCCGATCAGGGAATATCTTTGACTATCAAACACAAAGAATATGTAGATAGAAGCTGAGTATGTTAGTCTGTAGTTGATAAATAAACTACAGATAAGAATTACTTTGAATAAAACCAATGGTTTAAGGGTAAAATGAACAAATCTTTACATTTTATTGGGCACCGTGTGATTAGGCCGTTATTCTAGAAGAAATTGTGTTATTTAGTTCGGTTGTGTACGAACAATAGCCTTCTGTTAACCAAATGACAAAATACCCCCTTTTGACCAACAAGTCGATGACAGTGACGAAATGGCCGACATCAATACATAAGCCTACTGGTCCTGGATGCAGCTTCCTAATCTCACTTGCCCAACGGTCACAACAGAACAAAGAGGGTAGACAAACTTCTATAGTATAGTTCAGTTCATAAATTCAAAATTATTTAGTTACCTAATCGCACAGCAGTATAAGCATGAAAATCCAATGGTCATATGACTAAACAAGGGAAAGTCTTTGATAAATCAACAGTAACTTAGGGAAAGTACAATATAGAAACAGTTAATGAACCATGAAAAGCTTACAAGTAGGGAAATACAAATATAAAATAATCCAAGTATTTACTAATTATACAGCTAAAGTATAGATAGTAGTTCTTCTTAAGATAGTTCTGAAAATGATTACTTTCACAGTATTCACCTCGTTATATCAGTTCTCTACAAATTCCAAACAGAAACTCAGTCTCTAGGAGTTCGGTTTTATTTTGGTTATCTTGTCTGACTGTTGTATAAGTGATGAGGATGTATTAGTTCATATATATATCTGGAAATTGTCATACTATTTTGTCAGTAGTGCCGTAAAAGTTTTTTGCTCAATTCTTTGGCTGGATTTTAATCCTTTTAAATGAATTTTTCAATCAGTAAAGACTACAGGAATCAATAGGTCCATGCTCCGTTCTAGTCAACAGTAGTTATGAAGAAACTGGTCACAATCGACAACATCGAGATATGAAAACCAAGAAAATAATCAGTTACTAAGCACTAAATTATGTTACGTTTACAATGTCCTTAGGACTGATCGAATTCTATAATCTATTACAATCTATCCATCATCTTTCCATAATTTGGTTTTTAAAAAATTATTTCTACTTTAATAACGCAGTGTTTGCATCTTTTTCGAGAAATAAAATGGTTGATATTATTCAAATTCATGCTAAATTAATGCATTCTATGAACTGCTTGAATATTGATCAGTCAGTCAGTCAGCGACAACGTAGGACCAGGCACAATTATGCATCGGTCCAAGTTGCCATACCTCACTCATTAGCACAACAAGATCAACACCGAATTCATAGAAATAGTTAATTTAGTAGTGGTAATATATAAAAGATAGGTTGTATATAAGGATATAGTATACGAAGGAAAAAAAGTTATGAGGCAATTTTAATCTCAAGGTTTAAGGTAAGATAGATAGTGTATACATCTACGCCATTGTGATCGATTCTGGGCCATGTCACACACAGTATCCAACCATTCGTTACGAGTCACACGGACCCCAACCAGGTAGTCTGCATCTACCAACATGGCTCAGGCTAGAAGTTAGTGACTTCAAGCACTGATGCCATGTTTTGGTTTGGCCGCCCCTAACTCTTTTCCAACCGTCCCCAATACTAGTCATCATAGCGCGTCGTGGTAATCGGTGTTCAGGCATACGTAACACATGGCCCAACCATCTCAGTCGATGAAGATTCATCACCTCATCAACTGATTTACCATCGTTCCCTAATACCCTGCGTCTAACCTCACTATTACTTACCCGGTGATCCCAGCAGATGCGAGCAATATTTCTAAGGCATCTGTGGTCAAATACTAGTAACCTACGAGTATCTTCTACTCTTAATGGCCATGTTTCACAGCCGTAAAGTAGAACAGAGCGAACTGATGCGCAGTATACTCGTCCCTTAATTGATAGACGGATATCTCGTCTTCGCCATAGGTCACGTAAGTTGGCAAAAGCCAAACGAGCTTTTCGAATCCATGCTGAGATTTCGTCAGACACCAACCCATTAGGGCTGATCACACTTCCAAGATAAGTGAAGTTGTCCACGCGTTCGACTACTTCACTCCCTATCCTTAGTTCGGGTGTTGACGCAGGCCAGTCCTGGAGTAACAATTTACATTTGGATGGGGAGAAACGCATCCCAAACATCCTGGCATTATTACTGAGTTCCAACAGAAGACTCTGCATTTTGCCAGCGTCTTCACCAAACAGGACTATGTCATCTGCGTATTCTAAGTCGATTAGTGGTCTCCCTGGTAGGAGATCAATTCCTGTAGATTCAGTCGAAGAGAGTGTTATTTCCAGCAACAGGTCTATAATGAAGTTAGACAAAAATGGGGATAGTGGACAGCTTTGACGGACACCACTTGAGGTTGTAAAATCAGATGACAGTTCGCCATAAGCTCTCACTCGACTAATAGTGTTCGAGTAAAGAGCCTTCAAAAGGTTTATGTACTTCTCAGGTACACCTTTCAATGACAGACACTGCCATAGAGCCTCTCGGTCTACAGAGTCAAATGCTGCTTTCAAGTCAAGAAAAACTATCATTGTCGGACACAGATAGGCATGTCTGTGTTCTAAAACCTGACGAATAATGAATATGTCGTCGACACAGCAACGACCAGATCTGAAGCCAGCCTGATTTTCTCGTGTTTGCAGTTCACGAGTCTTAGTTAGGCGCCCGATAATTATTGAGGCTAGTATTTTAGATGCTATGTTAGTCAGACTAATCCCTCTATGGTTATCAAAGGATGATTTTGACCCCTTTTTATATATTGGGACAACCAGAGATTGTGACCAGTCGGATGGGATTACATCCGTCTCTCAGATTTTAGCCAGAATATTAGTCAACCTAATCGCTAAAATTGGACCACCGTATTTAAAGACCTCTGGAGCCAATCCATCTGCTCTTCCTCGTTTCAGATTACTTATAGCCTTTTGAACTTCAAGTAGGGTAGGGGGGCTTACTTCGAGCACTTTGAATATTGATAGGTTGTATCAAATCTTTTAAGGGATAATAACTTATGTTAGCTCAAGATCTATGAGAAAATTCTTTAAAAGCTATTAGGGTAAGAGACACTCTGGGTGTATTCTTTTCTGATACGGTCAACAATACGATGATGTTATTTATTTATTTGAACACATAAATATTGGTACAAAAGGGAACCAGATATATATGCGCCACGCGAATCTCATTCGATTTGTGTAAGGGCTGTGATACTGTCCGGAAGCCCAAACCGAAACAGGTGGTATTCTTAGGGACACTTTGAACAAAAGATCTGATCCATAAGGCAGTGGAGCATCGTAAGCAGATGCAGTTGGTAGCCGGTGACCAACAATTGATTCATACACCATTTGTTCACTCAGGATACTGGAGCCCATGTACACCACTGGTTTTGAATCAGGGTTTCCCAACTCACCTAGGTGGACTTTCCGTGTCCACCAACCCGGTTAAAGCGCCAGACATTCGCTTTTCTTCCTCCCAATTTCGTAAACAACAGCAATACCACAAGAAGGCAGTAAGTAGGACTTACCTGGCATAGGCTATATACGCGTGACCACGTGAGAGCATTTCGAGAGGGAGAACGGACTCTCCTCACTCTTGATCATACCAGGGCATTTGGGATCACGACGATGAACACTACAGAGTTAATCATTAACTTTATTTTCCTTGGACGATGTTTCATACTAGACTATGTTAAATCATCATCATCATTATCATGATAACCTGGGAAAATCATGCAAATCGATACTGAAATATATAGAAGTACAGAATATCCACAAACTATCTAGGTTTCCAAGGTGAAGATTCAAGCAAGATGTTTCTATGAAACTACAAGTGATAATCAATTATCAACAATATAAGAATATTCTATCTTTAATTGAATTCTTATTTATTTACATTTTAATGTAGACTTGGATAGATCAGTCAAAATAAATCTAAATACATGCAAATGCACTTGAATAAATAAAAACACGCACACACATTTAAAACAACATCCAATCAAATGTGTTTGTTCAAAAATTAACCAATCACAATTAAGTAACAAATATGTAAATGTTGATAAATAACCAATAAGAAATAAGTGAAATATACGTCATAAAAAATTCTATTATGATGATTATTATTAAAATAAAGGGAAGCAATAGAATTATAAGGCATATTAAACAACCTATTTGTACTACTATTATTATTAATAATAATGGTAATGTCATTTTCTTAGTGTACATTCATTCATTTGGAAATAGAAACAGATATGATAAGGATGAATAACAAACTGAAAAGGATTGTCCAGGACAAGGTTGGATAGAGAATGCTGATGGGCGGTCTATACTCCTCGATGAGGGGCAACAGGAGTAAGTAAGTACATGAATCAATTTGAATGAAAATTGAGAATTAAGTATTATATACAAAACAAAGAAAGATAATCAGTAGAAAACAAACAAACAAACAACAAGATGAATATCAAAAAAGAAAAACCAGAATTAAAATTGAGAAAAAGAAAGAAGATACACAAATGCACTAAACTAATATGTGAAACAAACTAGATTTCTTTTCTTATTTTCCACAATTGAAAAATTTACTTAGAACGCAATCATTTACGTAATCTATAAGTGGAAATAAACAACAATAACAACAACAACAAAAAGAAGAATTAAAGTTCATATCGACTACAGCTTTTATCATTAAGTGAGAGGCCTATGCTCCTCCACGAGGGGTAACAGGCGTAGGTAAGTAAGTAAGTATTTAGATAAGACATTGATTTAGTTAAATAGTATAATGATGCAAAAGGTAATGTTTATATATTTTTTGAAAGAAGCATCAATCACGTCTACACACGCACACACACAGGTAGAGAAGGAAAACCAACTATGTCTAAGTAGTGGAGAACACATAAGTAAGGATAGTGTAATAAGGATATTTTTATTGTTCTCTTTATAGAAAAAGAAAAGGGAGACCTATGAGATGGGAGGGAGACAGTTGGACAATGAAATAGAAAATTGATTGTTAGTGTAAAAAAAAGAGGGAAACTCAACAAACTATTACTACTGTTGATGCTAATCAAAATAGTAATCATAATAATACGGATAGTAGTTTGTTTGTTCTTTTAATGTACAATGGATATCCTCAGTTGTTGTCTACATTTCAGAACAATGACAATATATATATATAAAAGATGATATATGAATTTACTTTTCATTATTAGTATTAGAAAGTTTTTGAATTTCAGGCATAAGTAAAGGTTGAATAATTTCAGCATAATATGAACCAAATACATGACGATTATGCGCTAATAATGGAAGAAGACGACTTGCTAAATCAGATAAACTTAATATTTCAAATTTAGAAGTTTTCAAACTATTGATTGATTCTTGTCGTGGACTAGAAGGGGAAGGATGAAAAAGTAACCCAGTGGTAGTAGTACTATTACTGCTACTACCACCTGACATCATTGTTGTTGGGATATTTAACGGAGGTTTTCGTAAATACCCAACAGAGTTGACAGTAGTCTCATTTCCGCTAGTGGAAGAACTGAGTTTATGTTGATCAAGATCTAATAGAACACTAAAACCTGGAGGTAATGGCAATGGTTCAGGAGGATAGGATGATAATGCAGAACGTAGAAAATCCATAGCTCGTTTATCTGAAAGTAAAAAAAACTCATACAAGTATTGAAACGACTGCTTCTAAACAGTAAGGATTATTGAAAATCATAAGATACAATGCAGCTATTATAACGTAGAGATTAATTACTACGGATACACAGCTTAGTCCTTAAGAAAGATAAGCATGATGACACGGCTATCACAGTGATTTTAATTATTTTTGTTATATGATCTCTATATTGCCATTGGAATCGCTCCTTGATACATCATATAATATGATGTTCCCAGTTATTCTAATACAAAAACAATAGTTCCCAACCAACCTCTGTGACGAATTTCCTTCCTTTCTCTCCTTCTTTCATGTATCAATCTCATCATAATTGTAAACCGAAAGAAACTTCGATGATAAATTATGAATTTATAAATCGATAGTCACCACTTTTTTTCTACAATCGATTCCACTTATCAACGTGTGGAATTCATTACCTCAGCACCTGGTTGAGGCTCTATCCGTCGACTCTTTTAAAAGAATGTTGGATCAACTGAGAGACCATCATTGCCAGGACTAACACAGACTATCAAGCCCCCTGTCCTTTCCAAACTGAAACAAAATTCAGTGGTAAATTTTTACACACAAAAGGAGGAATGATTACAGTACATTTGAAGATTATAACACGAATAAATCAAGTATTGATTTTATTGGTAAGCAGAGATGGATAGTGACTACCAGTGGAATCCAGAACGCGCGTCTCGTCCTATTTGGAAATCGTCAGCTGAATGTATCTGCCACATCCCAGAGTCGATGTTCACTCTGGGACTCGAATCCAGTACCCTCGCTTCAAACGCCATCGCTTTATCCACTCAGACACTGAGTCCTGATAGCCACTTGCTTGTGCGATGGGGTGAAGTTTAAATTCATTTAGTATTGTTTATTTGAATCTTCCCATCGATGTGTTAGGACTGCAACTGGTCAATTTCTAATTGGCATATGTGCATACTGTGAGTATTGCCTCGATATAGCCTTATTTCACAAGCATGGTAAGCAGAGATGAATAGTGGCTAGCAGTGGAAACTGACCAGTTGCAGTCCTAACACATCGATAGGAAGATTCAAACCAACAATACTAAATGTATTGATTTTATTGTTACAATGGTTGAAATTCAATATATATATGTGTACTCTAGTGTATAAAGTGTGCATTCAATTAGTTGCCTATTATCATATGATTTAATTACTGAATTGTTAGTGTTACGACTATCAATATTAGTAGTAGTAGTAGTAGTAGTAGTAGTAGTAGTAGTAGTAGTAGTAGTAGTAGTAGTAGTAGTAGTAGTAGTAGTAGTAGTAGTAGTAGTAGTAGTAGTAGTAGTAGTAGTAGTAGTAAATAATGAAAACGGTAGATAATAATGATGATTGTAGTGGTAATGACTAGAACGTGGTACAAGATTATCATTCAATTAAATCACAAGTTAAACTGATGATCAGCTGACTCGATAAAAAGAAAGGATGAAAATAATTATAAGTAGTATAGAGGAAATATTGGTAAAAAAAGAGAAATGAAATACAATGTGTAGGAAACTTACACATCAGTTTATACACAGGATGTTCACTGACAATAACTGAAGTTAATTGTAAGCTTAATTCATTACGTCCATAATCTGTCATATAAGCAGTTGTACGTGATGATGAATTAGGCTCAGTTAATGGTGATAAGTTAGATGATGATGTAACTAGATTACAAGATTGTATACATCGATTATACCATAATTCAATTGTTAATATAACTTGTTCAATTATATCATCAACTAATTGATCAGGTTTACTAAATTTACATAAAGTACAAATAAAAGAAAGAATTAAGTAATATGAAGTAAAATATAATTGAATTATCACGTACTTGCTCATGTTATTGACTTTGAGTTATGACATATATGTAAGGGGACTACTACTAATATTACTGATATAAGTCGGATACCGGAACTGAGGTAGGTAGAATGGGGGTTTGAATCGGCGACCTAGTATTGGTTGAAAAATTAAAGATCGTAACCACTATGCCATCACTCTATACGATAGAAGATTAAGCATATGTGATTTGTCCAACATAAATAAACTTCAGAATAGATTAATCATATCATCTCTTTCTCTCCCTTATCTTCTTCTATGGATGTTTTCATTGTTTAAATTATTCCTGGAAGCTCTCACAAATGAAAACCATTCATAGTTGTTCCCATCTCGTTGTCTTCAAACCAGCCTAGCGTTGTGATTAGTACATGTACTGGACAAAGCATTAAGTGTTTATTGTATGAATGGTATGGAGGAGAATGAAAAACCTTAAGATATAATCATATATCATTATGAATCTCATTTGATTTGTGTGAGGACTGTGATACTGCCCACGTGCCCAAACCGAAACAGGTGGTTTTCTTGAGGGACCACACCCCTAGTCTTCGACCTAAAGGTCTGATCCACAAGGCAATGCAGCATCGTGAGGAGATGCAGTTCTATGGTAGTCGGTGACTAACAAATGGTTCATACGCCATTTGTTCCGTCAGGATACTGGAGCCCACATGCGCCATTGGTTTGAAATCAAGGTTTTCCAACTCCCCTAGGTGAACTTTTCGTGTCCACCAACCCGGTTAAAGCGCAGGACATTCGCTTTCGTCCTCTAAATTTCGTAAACAACACCCCCGCCACGGAAAAGCAGTGAGTAGGACTTACCTGGCGGAGCCTGCATATGCGTGACCGCGTGAGAGCATTTCGAGAGAGGAGGCGGGCCCTCCCCACTCTCGGCTGTACTATGGCATTTGGTGAATAGGTTAAGCATACAAATACTAGTCAATGAATTCACTGACTATAAACTTAAGGTTTGTAACGATGTAAGAATTTCTTGATTATGCTATAAAGATTTTTCTTTTCATCTTATTCCCAAACTATTCATGGGTATCATTCACTTATTGACTGGTGGTATACTTGGTGGAATTAAATTTACTGTTGTTTCTATAGTTTTTCATGAAACATCAATAAATGAGGAAGTGTATTAGACTGTATTTAAAAATTATGGATTATTTATTACCAAAATCAATCAACTATCATTATCATCAAAGGCAATGGAGTCAAGAAGTATTCTTTCTATAAACTATCAACTTGTAGTTTGCAATCTCTGAGCAAAAATCTTCACAAATCTCCTTATATTTGAAATAACGCCTGAATTCCTCCTTTAAACAAATGAGACACTAATTCATCTTAGACGAACATCTACACTGGATAATCTGCCACGAAATTAACACAACTGTGATGAAGAACAAGTGACTGACCTGATTAGAATCAGTCAGTCACAACATAGAACTTCGTACGTATGTACATCAGTTCGAGTTGCCATACCATTTTAGCACAGAGATACAATTTTCGACTCCAATCCCATAGTAGTAGAAGTAGCGAGAGTATAAGCAGTAATCGGAAAAATTAGGGTTCGAAGATGTTATTCAAGGAGTATAATCTAGCGAAATAAGTTTGGTAAGAGAAAAAAGATAGAGACATGAAAAATTCAGAAGATTAGAATTTGGTAGAACACAAAGAGTAGATGCACCTTCGCCAGTGCAAACGATTTTGAGCCATGTCATTCAAGGTCTCTAACCATCGGTTGTTATCATCTCGCGGATCTCAACCAGGTAGCTTACACCTACCAACATGGCTCAGTCCACTTGTCAGTGACTTCATGGATTTGTGCAAAGTTTTGGTCTGGTCGCCCCTAGCTTTCTTCCAACCTACTCCTACACCATAAAACATAGCACGTCGGACGTGACTAGAACGTGGAAATATTTTAACGGCAACAATCAACAATAATAATGCCGGATAGAAAAATATATAACACATCTAATACCTGTCAGACTATTTACTAGTCTAAGTAAATACTCAATAATCTTTTGAGAAAAATAATTATCCTTTCACACTTACTAATTTAAACAGATTCCATGTAATATTGGTGCAACATCTTGACAAATAGATTTTTTCAATTGTATCATTGCATCATGTGGTAGACTAGTTTCAAGTGGAATTGACAAAATAGGTTTTTTTGCACTCGGTGAAGACAATCCAGTCGTAGTGAATGTTGATAAATTCGAAGCTATATAATTACATACAACTAGAACAAGAGATGTTAAATTGACAATAATAATTAATTGATTGCCTAAATCTATAAGACGATACTGATCCATAAGCATTGTCTGTGTAGAGTAGAAATAAAAGAAAACAACAGGGGGTTAAAAAAAAAGAATTTCTAATCCATATTGTGGTACGTCATTCCATTAGTATGAAAATTTAATATAGAAAATCATATATGACAGAGTGATAAATAGGACACTTTATAGAGTTGACATCATGAGTCAAATAAGGCTAGACCGCCATCGAAAACCTGTAAGCACTGGACGGCCGTTTCGTCCTATTATGGGACTCCTCAGCTGTGCGCGTCCACGATCCCTCACTCACGAGATTCGAACTCAGGACCTACCAGTCTCGCGCCAGAGCACTTAACCGATAGACGCATAATAGGACAAAACGACCGTTCAGTGCTTCCAGGTTTTCCATGGTGGTCTAGCTTCAATTGACTTATGATCTCAACTCTATAAAATTACTAAAATCTGCACCAAACCCCTTCTGAAAATAGGACATTTGTTGATTAAACAGCAACAAATTGTTTGATGTAGTACAGAGTCACTTGAACAAGATTTTAATAGCAGTGAATTAGGAAATACTCAAACAAACTGTATCTGACTTGATAGTTTAGTCTAAGAAACTATAAACAAGAGTTCACTTAAAAGTGCCCTTGTAAATTCCACAGTTCTTAACATCCCGATCAGGTTAGTGAGGTTTAACGAGATATGCATGTAATATTTAACCATTTATAATACCCAGTGATACATTTAACTAGAAAATTCAAATTTCAAGAAGAGCCTATACAGTTTGTGAGAAAACTCGACCGTTGCTGCTACCTTGACGTGGTGGTCGGGCTTGCCAATCGACCTATACTGCCTGGAACAATCGTCCCTCAAGGTCCTACTATGCCAGACAGGTCGGTTGAAGAGCGATAAGATTAAAAGCAGCAAACCCAAGGTCCAAAGTCGTACTGCTGACTGTACAGAGGTGTGACGGCAGTAAAGTGTTTCCTTCAGACAACCAGCATGACAGCGATGCTGCCTTCCCACAAGGAGGGGTGGGGTTAGAAAAGGTCGACCCTAAAAATGCACACCTCGCCTTATCCCACGGATATCCGTCTCCGGCAGTAGGGTCCCAACAAGTACACAGCTAACACAAAAATTACCCACAAAAAGGTCGTGTGTGACCGACCTCAAGCAGTTGTCCCTTTGGCACTGCGGTCACGCTCTCAGGTCATTAAGACCAATCCCAACCCAATTTCCTTTTCAGGTACCTCTAGAAGAACCCTTCCATGGTGTGGGCAACCGGGAAGTGATAACTGCCCTCGTACCTCTAACGGCACTCAAGATCACTGTATTCACAGATTTTCGATTGTGAAAAATATTATCGTCGTACAAGTCTGCTTTCTATTGTATTGATTAGATTTCCATTCTCCATAGAATGTTTGAGCATCGCCACAATTATTATAGGCCAACAATTGTTGTATCTGATGGTTACCAGTGTCGCCGTGTATTTGTTGAACAAGGCTTTGCTCAAAGATTATCCGTTAAATAAGGTCACTGATGAGATTTTTAACATTTAAAAACTGTATACACAAGCACAGATAGAGTGAAGGCATAAATTAATCTCCCTCTATTGTCCTATTATATCAATGAACTTAATAGCCCCAGTTTCACCAATCCTCTTCAATTTTGCTATCGATGACACTCTGGGAACAGCTTTTAAGGAAGTAGGTAGTATAGATCCGTTACCAGGAAACACTTTTCGATCTTTAGCATGAAGATAACATTATCTTACTGTGTGATGATACACAACCAATTCAAACCGTCATCCATAAGTACAAAACTAACTTTGCACTTTTTAAATGCAAAGTAATTTGGTAATAATAACAGGAATCTGGATTTGCACTTGTCCTAATGGGTACTAAGTAAGGATGGTAAATCGATTGATGAAGTAGTGAAACTTCATCAGTTGAGATGGCTGGGACACGTGTTACGTATGCCCAACCACCGGCTGTCCCGACGTGCAATGTTTGATGGTGTAGGAGTAGGTTGGAAGAAAGCTAGGGGCGACCAGACCAAAGATTTGCACTAATCCATGAAGTCACTGACAAGTGGACTGAGCCATCTTGGTAGGTGTAAGCTACCTGGTTGAGATCCGCGAGATGATAACAACCGATCAATTCTAAGATACTTGTGTTATTTGGTGGAAATTAAGTATGATAATAATAGCAAATACAACAGATAACGTGAGTTTGATGATGATCTTGAAAATCCCCCAAGAATTTAGATGTTTATAGTATATTCACATTCTTAATTCGAACTACAAGGTTGAAGACACTAGGGAAAAAATTAACAAATTAACATTCATTAAAGGTTATAAACGTAACATTCAACATTTAAAATTTACTTCAGGCCAATCACGATCACGTGGCCATGTCAATAACTTTAAGTACGCTTCACGTAGTATATTATTCGGTGTCAATGGGATAGTATCATTACTTGTGGTAGAACAATCATCTGAAGTTCTTTTAAGATCCACTGGAGTGTTCTTATTATTGGTGCTGATATTGTTGGAATTATTGAGGCACTCATGATTAATTGATTGATGTGATACATGAAGAATATCATCATGTGCTTGTTTAATAAAATCACGTGTATGAGCTAAGCCATCAATACCCAGTTCTAAGTAGAATAAAAAAATGGAAGAAATGGGAAATAGTGATAGGAAGGATCGAGCTATAAGAGTAAAAAACAAATTTGACTCCCATTCTCACTATAATTCAACAGTCATTACAACACAATAATTATCATGTATTCACCAGTAGCTAGCTTTGAGAGGGATTCTCCAGATTTCTATTGAAAGAGCGTAACCAGTGAAACAAAACGACGTTGGGTATGAGGAAGTTATCCGCCCAAAAAAATGGAAGATGGTTGTTCAATATCATGGATTGGTAGGAGCTAGACATTTACACCGTCGTATACTGGCTTAGTGGTTTAGTGCTACCATGTAAGATCGAAGGTATTTACTTTGATTTCCAGCTGTGAGGTCATGGATGAACACTGCTGAGGAGTTCCATGCTGGGACGAAAAAACTTCTCAGTGCTTTCGAGTTACAAATGCTTTCCTACCTTAAATCAATTTGTGACCTCAATATAAAATTCTTAGAAGTTAAAGTATTACAGTGACACTGGGATAACACCAATAAAATAGATAGTCCTATCACACAGTAAAACATTCTAGGTGCAAACTGTTTACTGTTCGGTATGTACGTACGTGCAACATTTTGATCTTTATTACCTAAATTAACCCATTAAATATAGGTATATTGACCCGTTTAAGAGATATTCATATAATTTTGAATTTAAGCATAGAGCGAGTTGAATTTACTGAATATAATGCTCCCAAGTTGGAACTATCTGATCATCAGTACACATAGAGAAAATCACACATTTATGCGAAAACCTGCATGTGAGAAGAGGGGAGACTGAAATCTGTAAGCTAGCTTCAGTTTCAAGAAGCGGTAACGTAAAAAGTGAGTCTCACTGTATATTAAATAATTGGCATGAATCTGATAGATAGAGGAACCAATTAGAAGACAAGTAGCATTTTACGCTATGGTTAGGGTTCAAACACCATAATATTATTACTAAGATGTATTTTTAGATGACTGTGAACACTAGAAAACGCTTTAGGGTTGACAACAATTTAGTAGAAGTAAGAAAAATATTTCTTTTTCAAGAGATTGGATTTCCAGGGTATATTATTTTCTGATTCAATGCTTTG